CAAGCCCCTCCATTCCGCACACACCTTCAGCACTCGTCGAGCCTCAGCCTCCCTTGCACACGTACGTACATTCAGCTGCCCATCTGACCTCCTTGGCCCAAGCACAGTTGTACCTGCGAAGCGGTGTACTGACGTGTCTTGCTTGCTTTTCCTGCCCCCTCTCACTCATTCCTCCCCTTCGACGACGCCGATCTGCCCTGACGATGCCACTTCGATGCGATCGCTCGTCTCGCCAACTTGACCGTCTGCGCGACGCACGACTGTTTCCTCCTGGCTGCTTCCCTCATTGTGTGCGGCTGACCGTTCCTACTTCTGCGATTGCCGCGGCGGCACCCTGCGGATGCGTATCCGTTGGCTCGCGTCCCTGGCACGTCAACTGCTTGTTGCATGTTTGGCTCCCCTGGCACATCGTCGGTGTCTCATGTCAAAACTGATATCGCTCATCAATTGCTCCCCTTGCACGCGTTCCCGTGCCTCCCTGCCCTGGCCCTGCACACCGCTTACATTCCCTCCACTCGTCGTTCTCTCGGCTCTCGGTATGACCTTGTACCGACAAACAACTTCATGCATGGCCGCTGCATGATACTCATGTGCGATCCATCACTTTTGCGATGCTGCATGCCACCGACGGCCCTGCGGCTGCTGGAACGCGCCCCATCGATGCCCTTTCGCTCGTCACAACCGCGGCTGCCTTCACGCTTGCTCTGCTCATCATACTGTACACATCCGCAGCGTCTTCAGACCCCCTGGCAGCCCAGCTTCTCCAGCATCCTCTCGCCTTTCGACCTCCGACATTTGTTTGTTACGCGGCGCACTATTCCCGCACCGCATCCCAGCAAGCCTCGACGAGCTCTAATTCAGCCGTGTGTCCTCGCCCAGCACGCATTCCGCACGCCGACGACAATCGCAAGTGCCTGCCTTCTGTCCGAGCCTGCGATCGATATTCCTTGGTCATTCCTGCCATCGCGCTCGTTACATTCCCTGCCAGACTCGCCCGCAGCATACCGCTTCCACCTAGGTAAGTGATACTCCTCCCCCAAGCCTCGATCCCGCCATGCGAATGGGAGAGCTCGTGCTGTTAGACGCCGCTCCGGCGTGTGGGCGGAGTCGGAGCTCACTGACGGCTGTCTCACCAATTCAGCCGACGGTCGAGCCTAGCCCGCCTTGCGTTTCCTTAAAAGACTTTGTGTCGTCGTCGCCAGGTTTCGGGCTCACCCCGTAACTCCAAGCCTCTCCACTCCAGACCTTTTGTTCCCCCTTCCCCCTTCGTCATCGATACAGACGCTGACCCTCCCCTCCCCTTTCTCCTCCCAACCATCGACCTTCTCCACCTGCTCCCGGCTCGCGACTATCTATATTCTTACACTCTTTTGCTCGTCTCGCCTACGCTTTTGCCACGCATTGCTCGCTTTCCAACCTGCTCCTTGCTCTCACTGCATTCACATCGGCCCGTCTTCGCACCATTCGTCCATGACAACACGACAATATCACGCCTGGCTCTAACGAATACAGCATCCAAGCACATCGCCCACAATGACGCCACCCGCCATCACCAGCCACACTTCCCTCTCGCGACGAGGCTCGGCCCTCAGCCGCCAACATCGCATGAGCTCCGCTTGCTCGAGCGCCACGTCGTCGGGCTCGCGCCCTCGCTCCTCGCGAGGCAGGAGCACGTCTCCCCTTGACCCCTCGAAACAGGACGCCGCGATCCAGATGGCCGCCAAGCGCGCCTCGACGTCCAGCTCTGCTTCGACCGTCTCCTCTTCCTACTCGACGTCGTCCAGCGAGTCCAAGGCTGCCGACACATCGGCTGCTACCTCGACACTTCCTTCGTCAGGATCAACCACCAAGATCTCGGCCAACCTCCGAGCACTGCTCTTCGAGGAGGAGTACCAAGACGAGGTGATCGAGCACATGCACCACATGGAGTCGCAAACGGTGGCTGCCGTCGAGCTTATGGACGTTCAGCCTGAGCTCAAGTGGTTCATGCGCCCCTACCTGGTCGACTTCCTCATCGAGATCCACCAGACGTTCAAGCTGCGACCGGAGACGCTCTACCTCACCATGAACATTGTCGACCGCTACGTGTCGAAGCGCATCGTGTACAAGCGCCACTACCAGCTTGTTGGCTGCGCCGCGCTCTTGATCGCGGCCAAGTTTGAGGACGCCAAGGACCGCGTTCCCACGGTCAAGGAGCTCAGCCAGATGTGCTGCAACGCCTACGACGAGTCGGCCTTCTCCCAAATGGAAGGCCACGTGCTCTCGACCATCGGCTGGACCCTCGGCCACCCCACTGCCGAGGCATGGCTGCGCATCGAGAGCGTGCGCAACGGCGAGGACCTCAAGACGGTGAACCTTGCGCGCTTCTTCCTGGAAGTGAGCCTCTTCCACCGCGACTTCATCTCGCTCAAGTCGTCGGCGCTGACCAAGGGAGCGCTGATCCTCGCACGCTTCATCTGCGGTCTGCCGCAGTCGTGCAAGCTTCTGCCGACGGACGACGCGGCCAAGGCGGCCCACATGCTCGACGCGTACGTGTCCGAGAACATGCAGGACCTCTCGCTGATTCTGATCAAGAAGTACTCGTACGCCTACTTCTCCAACGCTTCCACTGTGGTCTGCGACTGGTACCGCGCACGTGTCGCCGCTGCCAAGTCGGCACCCCCCTCTGGCCTGCTCCCCGCCCAGGCGGTCACGCGTAACGCCGAGGTCGGCAGCGCAGATGTGGACGACGACGAGTCCATGTGCTCGCAGCCCACCACGCCCGCATCGTCGGTGCAGTCGACACCATCTCGCTCCATGGACGAAGATGAGGACGAGGATGACGAGGACGACATGCCGGTGACGCCGCTGTCGTTATACTCGCTCCACGACCCTCTTGTTGCCGCTGCTACCGCCGCCGGTCTCCCCGTCCCGATGCCTGCATCGCGCGCTTCGGTGCAGGACAAGGAGAACCGCTCGTCGGCTTCGAACGGCAGCATGCCATCGAGCAAGAGCTCCTCGACGCACTTGACAGTCCAGCAGCCTGTTCTGGGCGCAAGGAAACCGCTCGGAAACGTGGTCTGGAACGTCAACGTCCAGCAGTTCTAGTCGTTCGCCTGTCGCATCTCTACACCCAACTTCCCTGCCCAAAAGTGTTTTCGCCCTCGGATCCTTCATACTGTTTTTTTAGTTTGCATCTCATCGGTCACGCTCTGCATCTGGCCCTCTAGTCGTCTCCCTTCCCCCTCAACATTCATGCGCTCCATCTGTCACCTTATCACTCTATCCAGCTTATTCTGCCTGGCCCGGCGAGCCTCACGAGGCGAGCTGCTGGCCGTGGCTCTAAGATCTATCTCCCCCCACATCCACTCTTGGAAACATTGTTCGGAAGCAGCAATCAATCTTTGTCTTTTACGATCTCAACGCTTTCGTCTGTGTGTTGCGAGTTGTCTGAGCCAGGTTCGCGGCCGACGGGGGGGCCGAAAGCTGCGCTGCGTTCTTCGACAGGAGCTCAGGATGGCGAGGGGGGGAAAATAGGATCGCGCGAGCACAAATCCGAAACACCCGATTGGATGCGACGAGTCACAAGCGCGGACGACGCGGACTGCAGCTTCTCAACTAACATTTTCCCGGATTTTTTTCACGCTTCAGAAGAAATGCGGCAGGAGCTGGCGGCTTCGGGGAAATGCCGAGATTGGGCTTGCAGCCCACAACTCCCTTTAGACCCACGTCCCAAGGCCCACTTTCAAATCGAAAGAAGAGCAAGCAGGCTTCTCCCTTCCTCCCATCCAAAGCACGACGCTTGCATTGCCGCTTCTCACCATCACCTCGCTCCGCATCGCCCAGCGTCGCATCATCATGAGGGCTGCAAACATGCTGCGCCTCGGCGCCACCCGGCTCTCGACGCCGCTGCTTCGTCGAGGCCTCGCCACGCATGCTGCGGTCAACCCGGCTAGCGGCACGTACAACCTCGTCGAAAAGATCGTGCAGAAGTACGCCGTGGATCAAGCGCCAGGATCGCACGTCAAGTCGGGCGACTACGTCTCCATCCGCCCCGGCACCGTCATGACGCACGACAACACCGGCCCCGTCATCTCCAAGTTCGGCTCGATCGGCGCCACGTCGATCTACAACCCGGACCAGGTGGTGTTTGCGCTGGACCACGATGTGCAGAACAAGTCGGCCAAGAATCTGGAAAAGTACAGCAAGATCGAGAGCTTTGCGCGCAAGCACGGCATCGATTTCTACCCTGCCGGACGCGGTATCGGCCATCAGGTGCTGGTCGAGGAGGGCTACGCATTCCCGCAGACGCTGGCGGTAGCAAGTGACTCGCATTCCAACATGTACGGCGGCGTTGGCTGTCTCGGTACACCCATCGTGCGTACGGATGCGGCGGCGATCTGGGCGACCGGTCAGACTTGGTGGCAGATCCCCGAGGTGGTCAAGGTTGAGCTCAAGGGCCAGCTGCCCCAAGGCGTGACCGGTAAGGATGTGATCGTGGCGCTCTGCGGCTACTTCAACCAGGACCAGGTGCTCAATGCTGCCATCGAGTTCCACGGCTCCGGCCTTTCGGCGCTCTCGATCGAGGAGAGGCTGGCGATTGCCAACATGACCACCGAGTGGGGCGCGCTTGCCGGTCTCTTCCCCACGGACGACGTCACGCTCGGCTGGTACGAGAAGCAGATCCGCAAGCGCGACAAGCTCGAGTTCCAGATCGGCTCGTCGCCCTCGCCGTCCGGCTCGCACCCGCGTCTGAACATGCACCGACTCGACGAGCTCTCGCGCACGCTTCTCCGCCCAGACGCCGATGCACTCTACTCGAAGCACCTCACGCTCGACCTCGCCACGCTTGTCCCGCACGTGAGCGGGCCGAACTCGGTCAAGGTCTCGACGCCGCTCGACGAGCTGGCGCACCAGAACATCGCCATCAACAAGGCCTACCTCGTGTCGTGCGTCAACTCGCGCGCGTCCGATCTCAAGGCGGCCGCCGACGTCATCCGCGGCAAGAAGGTCGCCAAGGGTGTCGAGTTCTACGTGGCAGCGGCGAGCAGCGTGGTGCAGCGTGAGGCAGAGGAGGCAGGCGACTGGGGCGCCCTGATGGCCGCAGGCGCCAAGCCGTTGCCGGCGGGATGTGGTCCTTGCATCGGCCTCGGCGTGGGTCTGCTCGAGGACGGCGAGGTGGGCATCTCGGCGACCAACAGGAACTACAAGGGCAGGATGGGCAGTCCCAACGCCCAGGCCTACCTCGCCTCGCCCGCCGTGGTGGCGGCGTCGGCCATCGAGGGCAAGATCTGCGGCCCGTCGGATCTGGACCCCTCGCTGCTGCCTCCCTCGCGCGGGCTCAAGTACTCGATCTCGACCAGTGCCGATGCAGCCTCGGCGGCGTCGTCCTCGGCCTCGACCGACGCAGCTGGCGTCGAAGTGCTCCCTTCTTTCCCCAAGTCTTTCTCGGGTCCGTTGATCTTTGCGCCGCAGGACAACCTCAACACAGACGGCATCTACCCGGGCAAGTACACGTACCAGGACGACATTACGCCCGACAAACAAGCCGAAGTGGTCATGGAGAACTACGACGCCACGTTTGCCTCGACTGTTGCCTCGCTCCGCAGCAACAGCAGTGCTGCCGAGTCGGACGGGGTCAAGCTCGGACCTGTTTTGCTGGGTGGGTACAACTTTGGCACGGGCAGCTCGCGCGAGCAGGCAGCCACAGCTCTCAAGTACGCCGGTGTTCCACTCGTGCTCGCCGGTAGCTTCGGCGACATCTTCAAGCGCAATGCGATCAACAACGGTCTCATCTGCCTCGAATCGCACGAGCTCGTCCAGGACCTCACCGCGCTCTACCTCGGATCCAAGGACGCCGTTCGAAACCAAAAGGCCATCCTGCTCGACCAGTCCAACGTGCAAATCAACTCGGCCACGGGCGAGATCAACCTCTCCTACACCGCTCCCGACGGCTCAAAGGTCAACAAGAAGTACATCGCCAAGCCTGCAGGCATCGGCAAGAGCGTCCAGGAGATCTACACCGCTGGCGGCCTCGAAAAATGGGTCAAGGAGCGCATCTAAACACGCCTCGTAGAATCGCCTCGCCGAAAACTTACTTGCAATGCATCCGCAGTCCACAGATTTCCGCGCGTATGAAGCGGTGTTGAATAGCATTCCTTGTGCTCACGGAGATAGACGGGAGCGAAAGTCGAGTTTACTGTGTATGGGGATGTAGTTTAGCCGCTGATGAAGGTGTGCTCCTCAAAGAGGGTGCCCTTGATCGAGGTGGACTCGCCCTTGCCGGCGCCGGCGTACTGCTCGGGGAGGGTGAGGGTGAGCGTGGCCGGGTTGAGCGTCTGGTAGATGTAAGGCTTGGTGCCTGCGACGTAGTTGACGAGCTTGCGCACCATGTAGGGAATCTCTGCGAGCACGTCCACCTTGTCGACCAGACCGTGCGTCTCGCTGGACGGGTAGGGCTTGCCGAGGTCGACCTTGAGCTGCGCCTCGACCTTGTGGTCGACGTCGCCCTTGCCCGAGGCCGAGTCGAGCAGCGGTGCCTGCCAGTGGAACTCGATCGCCTGGGGCGCTTGGTAGCCCGTGTCCTGGTCGAGCATGGGGTCGAGGTGCCTGGCGAACGAGTTGCTCTTGCGGCTCGCTTCGGAAGCGGGCGAGCCAGCGCTGCGCGTCGCCGCACTGACCGCGACGAGCTTGCCATCGGCCACGAGGGATCCGATGTTGACAGTGAGCGACTCACGCGCGTTTGCGCCCTCAGCAACGCTGCCGTAGTCGGGCGTGGTGGTGAACTCCATCATGATGCCGCTGACCCTGCCGAGCTTGTCGTCCTGCGCCTGGAAGTTGGCAAAGTTCCACTTGGCGGCGACGAGGTTGGGACGCATGCCCTGGATGGCGTGGACAAACATGCCCTTACCCTTGGCGTCGATGGCGGTGCCCTGCGAGATGATGTGACCCTCGCTCTCGGCGACGGGCCAGAAGCGGTGGATGACGTAGCCCTCGGGGCTGCCGAGGTTGGAGCCAAAGTAGCTGAAGCCTCCCTTGGGGCCCGCACCGAGCTTCCAGCCCTGGGTGGCGGCCGGACGGACAAAGGACCACGAGAGCTGCAGGTCGGCGTCGAGGTTGGCGGTGATGGTGTACTTGTCCTCGCCGGCTTCGGTGGTGGTGAAGAGGACGGTGAACTCGGCGGCCTTGCTGGAGCGCTTGTCGCCCTGCGGACCGGCAGCGCCGGCCGAAGGGGGTGCGGCAAACTTGGTGACGTTGACCGACTTCCAGATTTTCTTGCCCGTCTTGGGGTTGAAGTACTTGAAGGTCATCTGCACCTGCGGGTACCACAGGCCGACGGCCGAGTGGATGATCTGTGAAGTAGCGAAGGAGCCATCTTCGAGGAACGAGTACCAGGTCTGAGTCTCGGTGGTGAATCCACCGGCACAGGTCCACTCGAGGTCAGAAGCCTGGAGAGGGCCGAAGAGAGCGTTCTGCGAGACGGTGTCGGTGATGGCGTGGAAGTTGCTTCCAGATGCGGCGGGGGCGCCGGAGCCTGCAGCAGCGGCCGAGTCGCCCTTGCTATGAAGTCGAAGGTCAAGGCGGTGGGAGGTCAGCGACGAGCAACATGTCGACACCGCACGTGTTGCTGATTACTTACAGCCAAGAACCCCAACCGGACATGGTGTGGATTGAGCCGATGCGACGGAGCGAGTCAAGTGGAGGAGATGCGGTGAAAGAAGAAGGCAGACGGGACTCGAACGGCTCGATGGCAAGCTGGACGAGGGGGAAGATGGTGGAGGGAGCGCAAAACCGCGTCCAGAGGAACAGCCAGCTCCTTTGGCAGCGGTAGCAGCTGGCGCGTTGAAGGGGTGATGCACTCGCAGTGCAAGTGTTGCGATTCGAGCCTCGCTTGTAGGAAGCCGCGGCCATGCGCGAGAGAGGGAGAAGCTCGCTCGCAAGCTCAGTTTCAGGGTCAGTGGTTTGCGAGCAGAGCAGCCCAGCGCACAGGCACGGATCGGCGCTCTGCACATAGCGACACTCGCACCCTGGACTTGAGTGCGTGTTCGGCTAGGCCGTTCTGCGACCTCAACCAAAAAAGTCGCTTCGCATACTACACGCAGGGCCCTCTCTTTCGCCTTGGCCAACAGGCGTCCGTGCCAGCCAGACTTTGCTCCCTCCCTTGCCTTGCCTCCTCGCCTCTGCTCAGTGGAAGGAAAAAAAAGGAGGCAAGACAGTCGCGATGACGCGTCGGAGGGCCAATTTTTCAGTGTGTGCTGCGCTGCCTCGATCCGCAACGCGCATGTCGCACTGGGCTCGATGCGGCCTTCAGCCAGCTGGTCGGTGTGCTGCTTGCCGCCAACGAGCCAACGCGCACTGCAGGCTGCAACGCGTGCAGTAGCCTTGCTGCGGATCCAACTTCCGGAGCCCGCGGTAATCCCACCCAAAATTGATGCGGCCCTTTTTGCCCGTCTTTGACAGGGTCTAACATCACGATAAAATTTCGGAAGTCGGAGTAGTGGGCGCGCCTCTGCTGCAGGGTCGCTGCTTGCAGGGACCAACACCATCCTGCCTCACGATTATGGGCCTCAACCATCTTGCGGAGCAAAAGGAAGCTTCAGGGCGAGCTTGTGGACCTCTTTGGGACCCACAGGACCAAAAAGAAGCGACCCCAGGCGGGCTCGAAC